TAAATGAGACAATTGTGAATCTTGTAAAGAAAAATATAATAATCCTAAATTTGAAAGTCAACTTACTTCTTTTTATGGCTATTTTCCAAAGTTTTGTAAGGAACATATGGCAAAGACCCAAAATGTTTTCCATCAATGATTTTATATTACGGGCAATGTGCAATATACACATGTACTCCCTCCGTCCCTGAAACAACTTCTCACTTTTCTTATTTGGATGTCCCTAATTTAACTTCTCATTTCCTTAAATGACAAATTATCTACATCAAAACAGTGCAAAACAGTGCCAAACAATGTCGCAACAGTGTCGGAACAGTAAAATATACCCTCTGGTAAGTTTATTTCTTTAATATGTGTATAGGTCAAAGAGAGAAGTTGTTTCGGAGACGGAAAGAGTATTACTTAAACTAATTAAGGCCGGTTACTATGGCTTACCGCGACTGTGAAAATATTCAAAACTCTCACATTATTAGTGAGAAAATTTGCTCGATTTTAGACAATCTTTTTCATGTCTTATCACGGTGAAGTGACTCTTTAAGCAAGATTTGATCTATATTAAACTATATAATTAAACTAGTGTTTTACCAGGGCGTTGCCTCGGGTGCATGTTGAGATTGTTTGAATACTTTGTAAAATATATATTTTATTTGATATATAAATAATTCATTGTTTGACTTCATATAGGAAGAATATATTTTAGATGAAATGTAAGTATATATAAAAAAAATCATCCAAAAGTATATCAAATATAACTATCTAAGGTAGACTACACTAACCTAAAATAGTATCCCACCATTCCTACCCCCCTCCCCCACCCACCCTTCACCTCGCGGTATTGAGCATGGAGATAGAGCGGTATTTAAATCCATAATCTCGAGTGTAGGCACAAGGATCGCTCTTACGTGTAATATGTTGGATCGCTTAATCCATCACAAAAGTTAGGATATGTGTTTTGCACGATATATAATCATCATATTATTAACTCTTACCCTTTCAAACAAATCACTCATTATTATAATCACATCGGCTCTCAGCTCACTAACTCCCTTCAAGACATATACGTTTTCTACTCTAATGTCAGCATCTCTTAACTTAACAATCCACGTACGTAGGGAACTCTTCAATTTTTGTTTGCTAGTCATTGTGATATGTCATTAGTCTCATATTCTCTGTGAGAAGAAAAACTAAACAATGATCTCAAAGAACAACATTCTTCCTTGTGATATAACAAACACCACTATAATCACATCGGCTCTCAGCTCACTAACTCCCTTCAAGACATACACTTTTGATCTAAAGTCTTCCCACGAATAACAATCTTCCTTCTGAATGGCATACATTCATTTTTCATATATCACAATTGCATGATGTCTCACACCGTAAGGCTTAAAACATTACAACAAAGTTGGAGATTATATTTGCAAATAAATTGTCTATTATTTCCTCCATCCCAATTTATTTTGCAAAGTTAACATTTTTTGGTCAATCAATGTTAAAGTTAAATCTTCCCTATTAATAAATAATAAAATTTATATATTTAGGAACTATATTAAAATCTCTATAAAATCGCAAAATTAAAATTGAAATTTAATTAAGAATTGATATCCTTATTAAGTGAAAAAAATATAATGGAGCTGTTTGACCCAAGAAAAAGTCAGATTTGCAATTCATTTCGGGGTGGAGCGAGTATTTGTTTCATATACTAAAAATAGTCATGGAACAAATATAAAAAAACATCTCTTACAATTCCTTAAGGTATTAGTTTGTAGGACATTTATTCTTATCATATTTTTGTGTATGTAATATGGGCCCCCTTGTACATACGAATAGATGTGTTAAACTATTTTATTACACAATGTATACATATTCATTAGAAAACCGGATTCAAAATTTAAAAATAAATAAATCTATTTATTTTTCGTTTCGCCAATGCATGCACATACATTCGGCAGAAAGTATCAATCCTAGAATAATATGGAGAACAAAACAATAACGGTAAATATGTTTTATATTTAATACAAGAATCTCACCATGTGTATGTATTCATAATTAACTTGTTATATTATACATTTGATCACTACTAATTCAATTACTTATCTCGATAATCCATATGGAGAATGTAAAAAATACAAATTATTTATTATTTATTCTTATCCTAAGTACATACACATTTAGTATACAATACTTATCACATACTTTTATGGAAGATATAAAAATATAGATAAATATGATTTATATTTAATTTGAAGAATCACAAAATGTGTATGTACTCGCAATTTACTTATTATATTATTCTTTATCAGTATTATATCAAATTATCAACTCTTTAATCTGAAAATCTCAATTCGAATTTTTAAATACCTCTGTAGTTTTAAGCGTCATTTGTAAGGAAATTTTATTAGTAAAGGTAAAATGTCAATTTTGAAAATAAAATGAAATAAATATATCATTTACTTTTAATCATTACCTCTTGTGTTTTTAATAAACCAACATTTTCTCGCATATTTTCAATAGAAACTATTATTTTTATTGGGTATCTTATAAGAAAAGTAATCATATATTTTTTAAATTGCTACATAAATATAAAATCCAATTTTTAAATACAATTTTTAAATACAATTAATTCTTTTATATTTTTTATTTTTTGAAATAAAATAATTTTCACGATTAAACCCAATTTAATATTGTAGCATTAAAAATTTTATGCTACATACTTTACATATGCATAAATATGTATGAATATGAAATGAAATTACTTGAATTGCTTTTTCAAGAAAAGTTGTACGGAGTACATTAGAATCGAACTCATGATTATCGCATATTATTGGTAGTCCGTACATCACACGGACTACCAATAAATAGGTTCATTCACAAAATAGGGTTTATTCACAAAAATAGTTTAGTTCTAATGAAAGGATAAAATTGAAACTTCTTATTTGATGAGTGAATAAATAAGTTTTATATATAAATTGACCAAAGACGTATAAAAATTGAAATTTTTTTTCACTATAGATTTTTAAGAATAGCTAAAATCTGACCAAAGATGTATGAATGACATTCGTAAGAGCAGATGAATTATTGACATATTTTAAATATGGAATGTAATAAACGTTAGTTTCAACAAAATATTATGGAGTATTTCATTATTAAGAAAATTGTAGGATTTCATTAAAAAAATCATGCATGACTTAAGTATGGAATCTAATAAACGTAAGCTATATTAATGGCTACATTGATTTTGTACTTGATAGCAATTACTTAATTTATCAATTATACTCAATAGCAATTTATTAATTTTACTCAATAGCAATTAATTGATAATTCAATTTCAATTGCAAGGTTGTGCTTTATTAGTAAGGAAGTAGAAAGGGAATAAATGAATAAATTCGAATGAACAAGTTTATGAGTTTGAGTACAATAGCCAAAGGAAGAATTGATCTCAATTGATTGTATCTAGGATTTTTAGCTATATTTATATTAAAACTCCACTTCACGTACATCGCCTAAAAATGTTTTCTTTTGGACTGAAATTTGCTGGTCTGGTCTGATATGGTAAACGTCTGGTCTCTGTGTATTTTATAACTACAGAATTTAAGTCTGGTCTAATCTAATCTGGTCTAGGACTGAAAACATTTCAAAAGGAACTACGAAAATTCCTCCGAAGCCGTAGCTCCTATCCGTCAGTTGAGTGCTCCCACTAAATCCACTCTTATCCAAATTAGTTGACCATATCTCATTTTGGACCTTCCCCATCATGGGCCGCCTCTACTCAAATAATCCTGGTCGCTTAGTTTTTCTTGGCCCAACAGTGACTATCAAATTGTCATGAGTCTAGTAGGGAAAGGGAAATTCTTTTGAACTAAATAGTAAAAATATTTTTGAATTTCAAAATAAGCTAATCATATTTTTATTATTGAATATGAGTAATTATTGTCATACTTTAATTAATTTTACCAGACTTTGAATATGATATTATTTTTCAAATTAAAGTTGCTAGTAATTAATTGATAAATGACTATATTTTGAACTTACAAGGTATTTTTACATCACGATTTCTAATAATAAAAAAATAACTCAATATCAACCACAAGCAGGGGCGGAGCCATGAGGTCGGGGTCCGACCTCATGAAAATTTGAGAATGTAGAGCATTAAAATATCTTTGATTTAATATATTACGATTCTCGTAACTCATTACGAGTCAAGATTTATGATCTTCGAAAAATTGGCATCATATAATCTTGAAATTCATACAAGTTGATTCGTAATATTAGTTGTATTCCCGAATTTAAAAAATATTTGTCTTATTTACTCCTTAGCCACGTGAAGTTTATAATACATACGGAGTATAGTATACTATCGTATTACATATATTACATATATACAATAATACTCCGTATAGTAGTATTTTTTGGGACTCGTTGAAACTAACGTTTATTCCACTATTATAAATATTTCAGTTCAATTTGTCTCATAATGATACGAGCTTTTAATACTTTCACTCATAATGGTACCGTACCTGTCATACATTTGATTGGTCCAAATCATTATATGCCTTTTAATTTAGATTTAAATAATTCAACTGCATCATTCTTATTGGTCCATTTGGATAAAAGTACGGTACATTTATGGTACCATAGAATCTATCTTCTTAAAAACTTTATCACTTTCTTTTAACTAATTTTTATCTTTATTCGTTTCTTTCTCTTTTTGCACAAAACTTAATTTTAGTTTTGTAAGTTTTCCCTCAATTTGGCTAATTTTCACATATAGACGAAGCCATTACAACTTCTTGTATTTGTATGAACATAGATGAAGTCATCCACCGAACGCAAAGGGGCAGGGTGGCAACTCTGTAAAGATCGGACTCCTGTTCTGACAGAGAGATTGTACACGTGTCTTCATAACAGAAAGCCTTTAAACCCAAGCAAAGCACCTGCCCGGCCAGCTAAGATGATGACTCATCCTTCTCTCCCATAATTAATTATAAACTGCAGGTATTCCCCTTTCACCTTCTTTCCTAGCTAGCTTCACAAATTCAAATTAAACAATGGGAAGAAACAAACTGAAAATCGTATCTTTGCTGGCGATTCTCGTCTTCTCCCTTTTCTATCATGCGCCCGCAACCGGGGGAGGGACGGCGGAGGAGAGCGTAAGCCCAGTCGCAGGCGGCGGGGAGGGGATGGCGGCTGTACGGAAAAGGTGTCACCCCATTGTAGAGGCGGCCATGAGACTGTTCTCTCTTCCAACCACATTTCCGTACACCCCTGCTTCTTACTGGGCCAAACTGGATTCCTTAGTCCGCAACGGCCTTGGCTTCTTCTCCACGGCCCCCAATCTCGAGTACGCTTTCAATAATCATGCATATTATATTTGGATTATGAATCTGTGATGATTCGCGTTTAATACTCAGATACTCTTCATGGAATTTTCTCTAATTTAATTTTTAAACTATTGTTGATAATTAAATTGATGAAATTAACATCAGTAACCCATGTTCTATTTTTCGACATTTAACAAAAATAAGCTCTACTAGCTAAAAAATCACAACAATAATTTAATGGTGTATATATACGGAAAGAGCCCGATGATTCGGTTCTTGGCATTTTTTTTATGGAACTTGGCATTATTGTTAATTGGTGATATTATTATTGAGCTATCGAATAGTTCTATTAGTATTAGTTTTGTTCACGTGCCGTTAGCGAACAAGGTAAGCCATGATTTGACTAGGGTAACATGTCTTTGGAGATTTTTACTTGGATTGATCACCAAATTTAAATAGATTGTATTAGATTTAAATAGCTAGACCAAACTAGATCGATCAGATCAGACCAAATTTCAATAGTTGTAAAATGCATATAAGTTAAACATCTACCACAACAGACCCAATTAGAGCAAATCAGAAAATAGATTTCTACTTCAGATAATCTTAGACTCCCCATCTTGAAATCATGTTCATGTTGCTAATATGAATGACAAAAGACAATTATCCTTTAATAGTATTCGAATTAGTGTCAATGATCAAAGTTTATATATTTAAAATTCAGTTGAATCACAACTGAATTATTTGCAATAGAGCCAAAGATTCATTATTTTTTGAGATATTACCCGAAATAGGACTATTATTTTTTGAGATATTACCCGAAATAGGACTAAAAGAGTTTGAAAATTCTAAAATAGAACTGCCATGTTTTTATTCCCAAAATAGGACTAATTACTGACATGTTTTGGCAGTATCAGACTTCAAACATGACAGTATTTTCCAAACTTGGCAGTAATTACTCCTATTTTGGGAATAAAAACACGACAGTCCTATTTTAGTCCTATTTCGGGAACTTTCCCTTATTTTTTTGCTTGAGAATATGATGGAATAAAGCAAAATGGCTCATTAAACTGTCTGCGCTTCTTTGTTATGAAGCAGCAGTCAGTCCATGCAATTTTGGTCACGATTTTCACTATGAGTCATCCGGAAACAGTCTCTCCCCCCTTTGATACAGGGGTAAGACTGCGTACATCCGACCCCCTTACCCCACCTACGGTGGGAGCCTTTGCGGCACTGGGGTAAATGAAAATGATGATGGAGTTGAATCACAAAAATAAATTTTAACATAAAATATGAAATTGAAATGGAATTTAGTAGATCACAGAAATATTCTACAAGGATTCAATTCGGAGTACGTGTTTAAAAAACAAATTGATTTTATTATACTATACTACTTAAATACTCTCTCCGTCCTAGGGAGAAGTTCCCGGGTTGACTTTCACACATATTAAGGAAATAAAGTTACTGAGGGGTAAATTTTACTGTTTGGCACTGTTTCGACACTGTTTTTTATGTAGGATAACTTTCCATTTAAGGAAATGAGAACTTTTTGTTGGGACTGCCAAAAAAAGAAATTGGGAACTTCTCCCTGGGACGGAGGTAGTATTGTTTTAATAAATCATTTTCCAAGACATCCAAAAATCTTCTCTGCTACTTCCAATCCAAAGAGGACTTTAATTAATTAATGAGGCATTTCTGGTCACTTAAATTAAAAAAATTGAACATAAATTATTATTATGTCACATTTTTTTGTAAACAATCTTCTAAACTTAATACGAAGTATGTAATTATTTTTTCTTGGGATTATATTGTAGCTTCCGGGCAAGTGGGAAAGCAGGAATAGGAGAGGAGGAAGGAAACGGGAAGAAACTGGTGGAAGAAGTCATTATGAAGAGCAAAGAAACAGTAGAAGATTCTGCAAAATCTGCCGCCAGGTTGGCTGCGGAGGCCGTGGGGAGTTTGAAGAAGACAATGTCGTCCAAAAAAACTGAAGAAAAGGGCGAGGAGCTCTGAATCTGTGAGATGGGTACAAAAATAATATTAAGATGGCCATGTGTTATATTGTAATTAATGTAGCAGGAACATGAAGAAACGAGACTCCTAAATTTGGTGAAAAGTTGAATTGGATGGATAGTACTAAAATGGTGATTTGTTGTGTAAAAGGGTCAAAACCAAAAGGCCCCAACCAAAACCAAACAAAACCTTCTACATCACTAGGAAACAAGGTTTGGATGGAATGAGAATGAAGACATAACAAGGTTTGGATGGAATGAAAATGAAGATCGCGCCTTTAAGAAAAGCTCGGAGGTTTAAGGAAAGATAACAAAATTGGAGGGTCAGACCATTTGGAGTGGTGTGGTATTAAGAATCCAAAAAGCTAAATGCAACAATTTTTGGTTGGACTACTCCTAATTGTATAACTTTTCAAAAATTATATCAAAATTCATAAATTTTTTATATGTAATATATAAAATGATTTTTTTTGAAGTTTTAACTGTTGAAGTTTTTCATCGAAATATGTATTTTTTTATTACATAATTATTCAACAAAAAAATTAAAAGGAAAACATTACTTATAATAATTTAATTAATGTTTTTCTAAGTTGATAGGTTAAAATATATGCTGAGTGTATTTTATTGACAGTGCTGGAATGCAGGAAAGTGTGAGTCTAAACATTGTTTTCATATGGACGGAGTCCATTTTAACAATTTGACCTCTCAACCACTCCAAATGGTCTTAGAGAAAACATTACAGATTTCCTCAATTACATTTTTTATCTTAGAATTTGAAAATGAGACGAATTTGGGTTTGTGTTTGAGTGAAGATTGTTGTGGACTTGTGGGGCTAGATCTCCGGTGACTGGTGCCATGGTAGGGAGATATAGGGTTAATCTTGATGCTATATCTCTTCTAGATCGTTCTCCATTTGATTCAAAGGAATATCATTGCAGTAGTGAGAGAGTCGTTTGTAGTGATGGCGAGAAGATTGTGGCGCAAATATAATGTGGCTCATTTTAGGAATTAGGTGATGATAATATGATATCCAGTTCCTAAGACCCTTTGCAATCCAGGGTTGAAAATGATATATTTGATCTATTCACCCCAATATGAATAGGGTTGAAAAGAATATATTTGATCTATTCACCCAATATTTCGTACTGCCTTGGTATTTGAAGAGGGGTAATGCGTCCGTGGCAACCTTGAGTGAGGAATAACCAACCCACTTTTCACCCAGGGGAGAGAAAAAAGAAGAAGAAACGTGTGAGGAGATGAACAAAAAGTAGGTGATAGAGCTAATGATAAAAAATGAATATTTTTTAGGGAAAACTGTCAAATAGGTCCTCGAACTTTCATAAAAAAGTCAATTAAGTCCTTCCATAGGAGACTTAGTTCGGTCGTCGCGATTTGGGGCGGTTCCCGGTGGAATGTTTTGATGAATTTTTTTGAGCATCTTATTCATCAAGTCTAGTTTACTCATACCAAATTTCAGTTAAAAATTTAATCGGGAGCGCATTCAAATTAATTCGAGACGCAAAAATGCGCAGTTATTTTCAAGAATTAATTTCAATGTGTTCCCGATTGAATTTTTAGCTGAAATTTGGTATGAGTAAACTAGACTTGGTGAATAAGATGCTCAAAAAATTTCATCAAAAAATTCCGCCGGGAACTACCCCAAATCGCGACGGCCGGACAGAACCTCCTATAGAAGGACTTAATTGACCTTTTTATGAAAGTTCGAGGACCTATTCGACAGTTATCCCTATTTTTAAAAAGTGATATAACTTTTTTATTTGTATTCCAATTTTTATAAAAATTATATCAAAATTATATTTTTTATGATCTTTCATACTCCCTCCGTATTTATGTGTTCTCTACAATAGCTTTTGACACAATGTTTTACGAGAAAATAGTAGGGGTAATGAATAATGTAGAAAAAGTAGGAGAGGAGGTGGAAAAGTAGGAAAGAGAAGCTAAAAAGTAGAAAAAGTAAGGTTAGTTGAGTATTTTTAAAGGAAAAGCTTACCAAAAAGGGAAAGTGTAGCAAACTTTTAAATACATCCCAAACAGGAAAGCGTAGCAAACTTTAAAATATGGATGAAATATGAGATCCACATAGCACATATATAAAAGTAATATATAAAAGTAATGATTTAATTAAAAAATATGTTAGGTGAATATATTGACGGTGTTGCATTGCAGAGGAAAATTGAATTGCATAGTGAATATATACTTTTGATATAAACTGGTTGGAAATTTACGTTATTGACGGAGGGTGGTCGAGGATAGACTAGTGTTAAGTAAACTACATCTTCTTTTTCCTCATTTAACAATCTTTATGAGGGGGTGAGAGCATCACATAATGAAAAATTCACATGTGTCACGGTGGTGTAGTCACTAGCATGGACCAATGGGTGTCGAGGTCATAAAATGCAGGGGAAAAGGGGAAGGGCATTGATGGACTAGGGTGGGCTAGTGGCGAAACTTTGTTAGGGAAGAGGGTAGTGGCAGAAGTAAGGGTGAGGTACAATTGTGGGTTGGGAACAATGTGTTTTAACCATTGTGTTACTAATGGAGTCAGGATCTGGAGGTAGGGTGGAAACAAGCTAGGTGAGGCTTTTGCCTAAACAGGCTGGGCTTATTTTAGAATATATAGGCCTGAGTCTGGCCTGTTACCTGCTTAAAAGCATGGCCTGAAGCTTGTTTACTAGGTTTGATAAAATAACAAGTTTATAAAAATTCAAAATAAAAAGTGATAAATATTTGTAACTTGGTATAAAGTTTATGCTTTCCAATTCAAGCATGAGCTCATCCACAACTGTGCCCCTATCACAAATATTCGTTCTTATTATGAATCACCCACCCAAAGCCACACAATCCACCTCTCACTCTAATCGCCTCATCAACACTCAATTTAATTTTTCTTATCCTTGGTCTCTGCGATACCCACTCTCCTTCACCACATGTGCACCACTCCCTTCCTATGGCTTTTGTGCCTGCTATTCTGCACTGCTCAACCATCGTCGCCTTAACCATCACCTCATAAAGTCATACTCAGTTACCCGTAGGCTATTCCATATCCACGTTCAGAGCTAAGGGGGGTCAACTGACCCCCTAAAAGTTCTAGAGTATAGATCTCTTAAGTACCTTCGATTTGATATATTATAACCCTCGTAACTCATTACGAGTAAAAAGTTATGAATTTTGGAAAACCAACACTACCTAAACTTAAATTGAATAAAATGACATACAATTCACTTATTAGTTGTGTGACATGACTCATGACAGAGCAAATACAACCTATCTTACTGTAGGGGTGCCTACTCATTAGTCGATTCTTTTCTGTTAAGAAATCCTATATTAATTGGGGGAGAGGGAACTATAGAGTTCTATGGTAAGGTAAAATGCTCATCCTAAGTAGCAACTAACGCGGAAGCCATAGACTAACCCTGTATAAAAAATTCATAATATATATGACATATTCATCAAATCTATAACTCTATTAGCCTCATTTAAACTATCATTTACGTAAGCTACATATAAAACATTCAACTTGGATATTGTTTAAAAACGACTCACCATTTTCATGTGTATACAATTGAATTTCGAACCCTATGAGTCATTTTTCTGGCTTTGCCACTGTCCACGCCACATCATTTATAGCACACCAAGTACTCTACAAAATCATAACAGGAACATAAAACATTGTTCTTCTTAGCGTAGAACGATATTAAAACCCACTCCAAAATAGACAATTGCCCAACATATCCAGTCGCATATTCAAAAGAGTAAAAATTTCATGAGGCGAAAAATATATAGGTGGTGCATGTCATGTGTTCCATTCTCACACAACTTGCACAACACTCCACACTTATCTCCCTAAACCGAACCGCCGTGGGTAGATTACCTGTGCAACATTGCCAAAAAAAATTATACTCTCGTCGAATTCCCCATCCATATAATCATATGTAACCCTTCAAAGCCTCATTGATATACTTCAAATTAACTCCATGACGCTATCATTGAATAAATCATATAATTCGTCAATGTCTAGTCCTTTTGCCCCATCCACTCAAAGACCGGTCACCGCCTTTTTTGCTAATTAATTCGGGGAGCACATCCAATATTGAAGCAGGGGAGAATATGTTCTTATTGGGATAATGACCTGCATCGAGATCCATGGATTCCCAAGATTGAGGATAAATGAATACCATCAAATCTTAATTGTAAACCAATCTCCCATACTCCAACAACACATCATCCTAATTACATCACTTGACTCTCAATGCTTCTCCAAATATGGCAAATTGGCAATTTGGAGAATATTGGACTCGGAAAATGCAGGTCACTAAGTGATCGAGCTTTATGAATAGTCTCCATGTTTGTTTTCCAAACATAGCCACATTACATTCCCTGGATCTTCTAAACCCAAGTGCACCTTTGTCTATAGACTCAAACAACGGAGTCAACTTCTTCCATGAAATCTTTTTTCCTAACCCTCTGCGACACTAGAATCCATCCATTAGTATCTCGAACTCCATACACATCTCTCGAACAATAAACAAACATACATGGCGCAGTTTGGCATAGTTTGACTAACCCTCTTCAGCACCTTCCCACCTTTGGTGGAGAGAAATCGATTATTTCAATTATGTGTTTGCCTCCCCACCTTATCATATAAAAACCTAGGTTTCTCAAATTTTCACCTTTCCTCCATTGACACTAAACCAAGATATGTAGTTTCGCCGTGCCTATGTCAATCCGAAGCATCTCCCCACGTTCCTCTTTACTCCACTCATTCGTATTATGGCTGAAACACAAAATAACGATGTTGGGATATTGGGCCACAACCCAATATACCCGACCCAAAAAGGAGAGAGGCCCAAGGAAGAGAGCAAGCCCAAAGGGGTCAGAAGAAATCACAACATCCCATTTGGGAGGGTACCCGAACAGCGTTCAGCTTGGCCCGGACGGGTCACGGGTGGAATATCTAACTTGAATTAATTAGCAGAATACCGGCTTTGAACACCCATTTATGAGGCCTGAACACCGAACGGGGTACCTGACCGGGAGATCCGCAAATAGCAGATGCATTAAATGCCAGAGTATGGCGATAGTAAATGGAGGCATGGGTGCACATGTGGCAAAGGCAGCAGCCAACCGGTTCGGCCACATCATCAACCCACTTACCCCATCTTTTAGTATAAATACATGCATTTAATACATTATAAAGGGTAAACAGTCCGATCGGGTAGTCACTATTCCGACGTACCGATCGGGCAGTCCCAGTGTAATCTGAGAATTATCTAGTACAAGATTAGCTTCTGAGTCCATATCTTTGAGTATTTTATATTTTTATACACCTTTTGAACCAAACCTACATCCTTAATATCCAAAGCGTGTGTTGGGCTTTCGGATCTGCGGGATTAAACCTCAACATTGGTGCCGTTTGTGGGAAACGAACCCACGACCACGTGGTCATTGCCTAAAAGAATAGTGGGGAGGCCGTTCGGGCATCCCCTTCTCGTAAGCGGCCAGGTCATTGCCTCATGTGCACCCATTATCATCGAGGGGCTGTTCGGCCTGGAAGGAAGCAGAGGAATCGGTGGAATCTATTTGGGCCGAAGCACCACCTACTTGGTTGCTCGGGCCAGCCTTTCCTCTTGAGCGCCGAATAAGCACCATGTCCTCTGAGTCAGAAGAACTAAGAAAGCCACACATAAAAGAAGAGCAAGTACCTTTGTAAAGGAATAAACGCCGAAATTCTAGAGAGAGAAAATTTGCAGAGGATTCGAGGAACGTTTCTCACACGGGAAGGACCGCCAGGGCCATGGCACTTGGTTTTCAATCAAGTAAGTCGAATAGTTCGGGCCTATCCCGGCCTTGACTAGCCGATCGAGGGTCAGATACTCCAAAATCTTGTAGGATTTGCCCCGCTCCACGGCGATAATGTCTTTGCTCATCTCTTCAGAAATGAATGGTTCAGGAGATTTGGGGGGAAAAGCATTCAAATTCTTTGGAATCAGGCCGTCCGGGACGGAGACGAAGAAGAACCGATCTTTCCAT